TGTAGACATTGTATTTATTGAATGAAGGAATGATCTTTCTTTCTTTTTTTTTTTTTTTTTTTATTTATTTAAAGACAGAGTTACAGAGCAAGGTAAAGCCAGAGAGAGAGAGAGAAGAGAGGTCTTCTATCCGTTAGTTCACTCCCTAAATGACCGCAACGGCCAGAACTGAGCTGATCTGGAGCCAGAACAAGGAGTTTCTTCCGGGTCTCCCATGTGGGTGTAGGGGCCCAAGGACTTGGTCCATCTTCTACTGCTTTCCCAGGCCATAGCAGAGAGCTGGACTGGAAGTGGAGCAGCTGGGATTAGAACCGGTGCCCATGTGGGATGCCAGCGCTGCAGGCCACAGCTTTAACTTGCTGCGTCACAGCGCCAGCCCCAGGAATGATCTTTCAACACTGAAATCAAGCATTATCACTTTGAGTAGACTTTTTTTTTAAGATTTATTTACTGGGGGCTGGCATTGTGATGTAGAAAGTAAAGCCGCCGCCTGCAGTGCTGGAATCCCATGAGGGGGCAAGTTCAAGTCTTGGCTGCTCCACTTCCAATCCAGCTCTCTGCTATGGCTTGGGAAAGCAGTGGAAGATGGCTCAAGTCCTTGGGCCCCTACACCTGTGTGAGAGACCCGGAAGAAGCTCCTGGCTTCTGGCTTCAGATCGACGCAGCTCCAGATTTTGCTGCCAAATGGAGAGTGAACTAGCAGATGCAAGACCTCTCTCTCTGCCTCTCCTTCTCTCTGTGAAACTCTCTTTCAAATAAATAAATAAATCTTTAAAAAAAAAAGAGATTTTGTTTATTTATTAGAAAGGCAGAGACAGAGAGAGAGGTCTTCCATCCTCTGGTTCACTCCCAAGATGGCTGCAACGGCCAGAGCTGCACCGATCCAAAGCCAGGAGCCAGGAGCTTCTTTCGGGTCTCCCATGTTGGTGCAGGGTCCCAGGGACTTGGGACATCACTGCTTTCCCAGGCCATAGGAGAGAGCTGGATCGGAAGTGGAGCAGCCAGGACTCAAACTGATACCCATATGGGATGCCAGCTCTGTGGGTGGTGGCTTTACCCTCTAAGCCACAGCACTGCCCTCCCTCTTTTTGTTTTTAAAAATTTATTTATTTTATTTGGAAGATTTACAGAGAGAGAGAGGGAGAGATATCCTCTGTCCACTGGTTCGCTTCCCAAATGGCTGCCCCAGTGAAAGCAGTGGGAAGGAATAGCTCAATTTCTTTATCTCATAGAGGGTAAGGTTTCCATGACACATGCATATAGATTTAAATTTTGTGGTATCAGAAATATATTACTTCTTATCTTAATCCATTTTACATTGTTAAACAATAGCTGAGACTAGATGATTTATAAAAGAAAGTTTATTTAGCCTTATGCTCTGGACACCAAGTCTGACGATTGGGTGGCCAAAGCTGGTTTTTGATGAGAGCCCTTGCTGCCTCACCTCATGATGGAAAGTGGAAGAACGAGTAGGCATGTGCAGATGTAAGAGACAAAGCATGAGAGGCAGCCTTGCTTTGTAACAGCCACTCTAGTAACCCATTCTCACGGTGATGCAATCCCAAGAGAGTGAGAATTCACTGCCATGAGAATTAGACAGTTCCCTTCAGAAAGCCATTAATCCCTCTTTACCATCCCGACACCCCTTAAATGCCCCTCTCAATTCTCTCACAAATTTCAACATGAATTTCAGAGGGAACAACCTGTATTGGAATCAGTGCTCTTGTGCCTTGTGATAGCATATAGTTTCATCTCTGCCCTTCCTCTGTTTAATGGTAGAACAGTGAGAATGAGAACTGTTTTAGATCCAAGGTACTGGCAGAGACTTGAACTAAGGCAGAGACTTTTCACTTAGTAGGAAAAGGGAGTTGCTGGAAAAAGACTGATGGAGGGAGATGACCTTCAATAGGGATTTTAAAATGAGGAGGGTGATGCTGGAGTCATGTAATAAAGTGTGTGCTCCAGTAGATTGGGATATGAAGGGCTCTAGGAATCTAGTTTTCTCTGTTTATAAATGAAGGTACCTTCTTCCTTGCTATTATTTTGTGTTCTGAGTAATCTTCCTACTCAACCATGTCTTTCATTCTGTTGGCACTAATTTCTGTTCCCTTCTCCCGCCATCACCTGTTGCTTCCACTACAAAATAGGAGGTAAACTTAAAGATTTTGCCTCTTTTTTTTATGAAAATATACCATCCTGTAGGGTTGGGTTTTTGCTTCTATAATATAGGGATTCTGGGTAAAACTTCTTTCAGTTCTCTTTTTATACTGTGACCTTCTAGGAAAAGAAAAATCACATCTAGATGCTAAAGTATGATTTGAGTGCTTTTTTTTTTGTTTGTTTGTTTTTTGTTTTGACAGGCAGAGTGGACAGTGAGAGAGAGAGACAGAGAGAAAGGTCTTCCTTTGCTGTTGGTTCACCCTCCAATGGCCGCCGCAGCCAGCGTGCTGCGGCCGGCGCACCACGCTGATCCAATGGCAGGAGCTAAGTACTTCTCCTGGTCTCCCATGGGGTGCAGGGTCCAAGCGCTTGGGCCATCCTCCACTGCATTCCCTGGCCACAGCAGAGAGCTGGCCTGGAAGAGGGGCAACCGGGACAGAATCCAGCGCCCCAACTGGGACTAGAACCTGGTGTGCCGGCGCCGCAAGGCGGAGGATTAGCCTAGTGAGCCGCGGCGCCGGCTGATTTGAGTGCATTTTTAAAATGAGCCATACTTGTAGTATCTCAGACAGTTCATCATGGAAGAGTTCTAAGCTACAGCAGTGAGAAAGAGGGAAAAGGCTCTATTGCCATTGGACCACTGTACTAACTGCCCCCAGTATGTTCCTATTTGTATACAAGTTGGGTGTGTGATATAGGAGCTACATATAAATTGCATTTCCTTTCTGATTGTACCAATTGTACTAGTTAATAGTTCCACCACAAGACTGTGGAGTTAGATCACTGGGTTGAAGGTCATTTTCTTTTTCCTTTTTTAAATTTGACCTTGCTCATATTAGTAAGATTGTCAATAATGAAATATTCAAAAGAAGGAATTAAAAAACATAACTGAAACCCATGAAGAATTAATTAAATAGTTGAAAATTGTAGGTTTTTTAAAGTTGGTTTAATACCTTTTTTAAAAAATATTTTATTTATTTTATTTGAGAGTTAGAGTTACAGAGAGTGAGAGGGAGAGACAGAGAGAAAGGTCTTCCTTCCGTTGGTTCACTCCCCAAATGGCTGCAACGGCTGGAGCCGTGCCGATCCGAAGCCAGGAGCCAGGCGCCTCTTCCTGGTCTCCCACATGAGTTCAGGGGCCCAAGGACCTGGGTAATCCTCTAGTGCTTTCCCAGGCCACAGCAGAGAGCTGGATCGGAAGAGGAGCAACCAGGACTAGAACCGGCGTCTATATGGGATGCTGGTGCCGCAGGCAGAGGATTAACCCACTGTGCCACGGCGCTGGCCCCTGGTTTAATATCTTTTTTAAAGAGTTGTACATATGGAAAGTTGGGTTATAAATTTCTGTCTTAAAGTCTGATTTTTGAAATTGAGAAAGAAGAGTTGCACAGTTCATTAATTTGGGTTAAATTGTATGCCTTTCATGCAGGCGTTAGTAGCAAAGGGATTTTGGGGTTCTTTTTTTTTTTTTTTTTTTTTCTGTTTGTGTTTCTTTCCTCAACACTGTTGAACTAAAAACATGGTTTATAATTACAAGCTTATAATTAACTGGAATTGTAAAGAGTTTGAGCATGGCAAACTGACAGACTGTTGGTGTTTGGGTTTAGAACTGGAAGCCTTGAAGCAGCGTTTCTGGAAACATGCCAATCCTGCAGCCAAACCCAGGGCTGGTCAGACGGTGAATGTGAACATCATAGTGAAAGATGTGGGCACGGAGGGAAAGGAAGAGCTAAAGGCAGATGTGGTACCTGTGACCTTGGCAGCTGAGAAGCTGGATGGAGCAAGCTACACAAAACCAGGTATTTGAATCTTTATGGCTGTTAAAGATCCTAAAGTGAGAATTCAATGAATTTTTTCCCTTGGAGATGTTAGAGATTGGATAGCAGCGCTTCTGGTGTGCTACACAATGTCTGGCGTGGGTAAGATGACTTTATCAGTATTATTATAAAAAGCAGCCAATACCATAGAAAATGAGGGTGCTTCTAAAAGTTCATGGAGAAGTCATCTTACCTTAAAATTTCATTTTTCCAGACTTTTTGAAGCTCCCCTCATATAAAATAAACAAAAAACCTCAGTCCTCTATCAGAGACAAGTTCTATAACCATTTTGTGTATCTATCCTTAAACTCTCTTCCTTACATGCATTTTTTTAAAGGTTCATTTTATTTATTTGAAAGCAGAGTGGCAGATCTTCCATTCACTTGTTCACTCTCCAAACGGCTGTAACAGCCAGGGCTGGGGCAGGCCAAAGCTAGGAACTCAGAACTCTATCTGGGTCTCCCATGTGTGTTGTCAAGGGTCCAAGTACTTGGACCATCTTCCACTGTTTTCCTAGGTGCATTAGCAGCTAGAGCGGAGGCAGAGCTAAGACTTGAACTGGGGCTTTGATATGGGATGCCAACATCAGAAGTGGTGGCTTAACCTGCTGTGCCACAACCTTGGCCCCAAGAAGTTGCTAATAGTTATCTTTGAGGGGCCAGTGTTGTTGCACAGTGGCTTAAGCTGCTGCCTGTGATGCTGGCATCCCATATGAACAGTGGTTGGAGTCCCTGATGCTCCATGTCCGAACCAGCTCCCTTCTGATGTACCTGGGAAAAGCGGTGGAGGATGGCTCAAGGTGCTTTGGCCTTTGCTAACCAAGTGGGAGACCCAGAAGGAGTTTCAGGCTCCTGGCTTCACCGTAGCCCAGCTCTGCCCTGGCAGTTGCAACCATTTGGGAAGTGAAACAATGGATGGAATATCTGTTTCTCTCTCTCCCTCTTTTTGTGTAGCTCTTTCAAATAAATAAATTTTTTTAAAAGTTTACATAGATAATAAGCGGTAGGGCCAGCAGCTGATCCAGACCACCCAGTTCTAAAGCTCAGTTATACATTACCTTTGAGGCTTCCTTTTAACAGCTGCATACTATTCTACTGAATGAATGCAACACAGCTTGTTTAACCATACTTGTATTGATGGACATGCTGTTTGTTCCAGTTTTTTTTGTTTTTTTGTTTTTTTTTTTTTTTTTTGACAGGCAGAGTGGACAGTGAGAGAGAGAGACAGAGAGAAAGGTCTTCCTTTGCCGTTGGTTCACCCTCCAATGGCCGCTGCGGCCGGCGCACCGCGCTGATCCGATGGCAGGAGCCAGGAGCCAGGTGCTTTTCCTGGTCTCCCATGGGGTGCAGGGCCCAAGCACCTGGGCCATCCTCCACTGCACTCCCTGGCCACAGCAGAGAGCTGGCCTGGAAGAGGGGCAACTGGGACAGAATCCGGCGCCCCGACCGGGACTAGAACCCGGTGTGCCGGCGCCGCTAGGTGGAGGATTAGCCTAGTGAGCTGCGGCGCCGGCCTGTTCCAGTTTTTTTCTAGTAGCCTAGAACCAGATATAGATGGGTATAATCTGGACGCAGAATCCCTTATAGAGGAAGTGGAATCACTGAATCGAATTTTGATAAATATCATCAAAGTAATTTGTCAAAAATGCTATCTTGTTATTTTGATTTGCTTCTCTTTCATTAGAAATGAGGTTAAGCTTATTTTTAATTTGCTTATTAACATGTCTTTATTTTTCTGAAAACTCCCAGTTCATCTCTTTTTCCAGTTTTACTCCTGGATTGTTTCTCTTCCTGTCTGTACAGGTGAAAAGCTTCAGGTGTTGAAAGCTAAGCTTCAAGAGGCAATGAAACTCCGAAGGTTTGAAGAGCGCCAAAAGCGCCAAGCATTATTTAAATTAGATAATGAAGATGGGTTTGAGGAGGAGGAGGAGGAAGAAATGACAGATGAGTCTGAGGAAGATGGAGAAGAGGAGACAGAAGAAGCAGGAAAAGAAAAAGAGAAAGAAGAGGAAGAATTAGAGGAAGAGGAGGAGAAAGAAGAGGAAGAGGAGGAAGAAGGCAATGAGGAGGTTTCTGGGAATTATGTAATCTTGTTACTTAGTCATGATGAATAGGAGAAAGGCGATCCAACTGAAATAAGAGTATAATCAGCATGTTCAGTTGTATAGGAGTTGTTGGTTGGGCCATGGACAAAGGGAGCTGCCTCATATGTGTCTAAGTCTTAGTACATTCATTTCTCTTTTTTCTTAAAAATATTTTATTTATTTATTTGAGAGGTAGAGTTACAGACAGTGACAGGAAGAGACAGAGAGAAAGGTCTTCCATCTGCTAGTTCACTCCCCAAATGGCGACAACAGCTGGAGCTGTGCCGATCCAAAGCCAGGAACCTGGAGCTTCTTCTTGGTCTCCCAAGTGGGTGCAGGGACCCAAGGACTTGGGCCATCTTCTACTGCTTTCCCAGGCCACAGCAGAGAGCTGGAATGGAAGAAGAGCAGCTGGGATTAAAGCCGGTGCCCATATGGGATGACACGCTGCAGGCGGAGGATTAACCTAGTGTGCCACAGGGCCGGCCCCAGTATATTCACTTCTGTCAGCACTATTGGATCCCCACAGTTCATAGAACCATTGTCCTGGCTTCTGCGTGTTAGATTGCATTTAAATATAATGCTAATATTGAAAATGGCTTTATATTAATAGGGACTGCTTATTTAGCTGTATATTCAGATTAAAAAGCAATATTAATTACAAGCATCACATGTTCATCAGAATTTTTTTTTTTTTTTTTTTTTTTGACAGGCAGAGTTAGACAGTGAGAGAGAGAAAGGTCTTCCTTCCATTGTTTCACCCCCCAAATGGCCGCCACGGCCCAGGAGCCAGGTGCTTCCTCTTGGTCTCCCATGTGGGTGCAGGGCCCAAGCACTTGGGCCATCCTCCACTGCCTTGGAAAGGCCACAGCAGAGAGATGGACTGGAAGAGGAGCAACCAGGACAGAATCTGGCACCCCAACCAGGACTAGAACCCAGTGTGCTTGCGCCACAGGCAGAGGATTAGCCTAGTGACCCGTGGCACCAGCCAGAATTTTTTTTTAAATTTAATTTTGGCCAGGTTAAGATATGAAATAAATTCCCAGGCAAGCAGAGGCCTTCCTCAGTTAATCTGATTCTTTTTGAGGAAGATATTGGTAGAAGGACCTTTTGCCCTTGTTTGCTAGTATTTTTTTTTTTTTTTTTTTTTTTGGTCAGGCAGAGTGGACAGTGTGAGAGAGAGACAGAGAGAGAAAGGTCTTCCTTTGCCGTTGGTTCACCCTCCAATGGCCGCCGCTGCAGCCGGCGCACCGTGCTGATCGGATGGCAGGAGCCAGGATCCAGATGCTTTTCCTGGTCTCCCATGGGGTGCAGGGCCCAAGCACCTGGGCCATCCTCCACTGCACTCCCTGGCCATAGCAGAGAGCTGGCCTGGAAGAGGGGCAACCGGGACAGAATCCGGCGCCCCGACCGGGACTAGAACCCGGTGTGCCGGCGCCGCAAGGTGGAGGATTAGCCTATTGAGCCACGGCGCCGGCCTCTAGTATTATTTTTTGCCTAGGGAAGGCAAGTGATGTGGTTGTTAGGTATTTTGTTTCTATGTTGAGATCACTTGAAGGAATTGGTTAATACTTGCCCCTGTGAAAAGGAAAAAACAAAGCAATAACTGGACATCATATCACATCTGTGTTGGGTTTGAGGTTAGGACGTAGCCTACTCTCTTAGAGTAATTTTTAACCTGTTATTGCCTCACTCAAATGATAATCCAGTCTTTTTTCATTATGTTTTAACAATTTGGGGAGGATAGAAGGGAAAATAAGTATAAAAGAGCTCTCTAAAAGTGTTAGGGAAAGTATGTAATAGACCGAGTTCCTTCAGGCTTACCTTTGCAGATTTAAGATGTGACCTTTAACCATGCAGCAGTGTTTCTAACTAAACAGTGGGTTTGCTTTTAAATCTTTTGACTTGGATTGTTTTGTTTTTGGCTGTTACGATTGATGAAGATTGAAGAATTTCTTCTTAGTAATGAAGAAATAGAAACCAAAGATGAGAAAGAAATGGATAAAGAAAATAATGAGGGCAGTAGTGAAATTGATAAAGCAGTTGGCCTTCTCTCTGATCCCAAGCCCCTCTCATCAGATTCTACCTTACTCCTATTTAAGGACAGCTCTTTAAAGATGGGGTAAGCAATTCTCTCTAAGGAAATAGGAAATTTACTTGGATTTGTCCTTCTAGGAAGAAGTAGGAACAGATGTTCAAACGATTTACCTTCTTATTTTGTAGTTACTTTCCTTCTGAAGAAAAATCAGAAACAGATGAAAGCTCAAGCAAACAGCCTAGCAAACTAGGTAAGCAGTAACTACCACAGAACCAGACTTTTATTTATCTTCTAGCTTTGATGTTTAAGGATTACAATTCTGTAGGTTTATTTTTTTTTTCTAAGATGTATGTATTTATTTGTTTGAAAGGCAGAGTGACAAAGAAAAGGAGATACAAAGAGAGAGAGCTTCCATCTGCTGGTTCACTCCCCAGATGATTGTAATAGTCAGTTGCTAGGAACTCCATCTGGGTCTCCCACATGGGTGGCAGAGTCCTAAGAATTTGGGCCATCATCCACTATCTCCTAAGGAACAGGAAGCTGGATTGGAAGCACAGAGTAGCTGGGACTGGAACCAGGCACTCCAACAGGGGATGCAAGTGTCCCAAGCCACTGTTTAACCCGCTGTGCCACAGCACTGGCTCCAAGTTTACATTTTTGTAATCTGGTAACTTTTCCCCATCTTACATGTAGCAACTTACATGCACTTTTTTTTTGTAGTGGATCCTGGGCATAATATAGTGGGTCCTTGGTGAGCACATGTTGATTGAGTTAACCCTGAACTATTTCTATATCTAGTTCCAAGGGAGATATCTGTTGATTGGATAATGAAAGGGGTGCTCAAGGCATTAGTCAGGTGTGCGAGAAAGAAAAGAACTGTCCAGATATCACTTAGCTCAAAGTAATAAACCCTGATTATATAATGCCACTTTTTAAAAAGATTTATTTTGTTTGAAATGTAGAGTAACAAGAAGAGTGGGGGGGCCGGCGCCGCGGCTCACTAGGCTAATCCTCCACCTAGCGGCGCCGGCACACCGGGTTCTAGTCCCGGTCGGGGCGCCGGATTCTGTCCCGGTTGCCCCTCTTCCAGGCCAGCTCTCTGCTGTGGCCAGGGAGTGCAGTGGAGGATGGCCCAGGTGCTTGGGCCCTGCACCCCATGGGAGACCAGGAAAAGCACCTGGCTCCTGGCTCCTGCCATCCGATCAGCACGGTGCGCCGGCCTCAGCGTGCCGGCCGCGGCGGCCATTGGAGGGTGAACCAACGGCAAAAGGAAGACCTTTCTCTCTGTCTCTCTCTCTCACTGTCCACTCTGCCTGTCAAAAAGAAGAGAGGGGGAAAGACACAGAGATCTTCTATCTACTCATTCACCCCCCAAATGGCCGCAATCGTCAAGGCTGGGTCAGGCGGAAGCCAGGACCCAGGAAATCCATCCAGGTCTCATGTGGGTGGCAATGACCAAAGTACTTGAGACATCTTCCACTGCTTTCCACTGCTTTCCCAGGCGCATTAGCAGGGAGGTGGATCAGATGCAGAGCAGTCAGGACTCAAACCAGCACTCAGAGGATGCCAGTGTCATAACAGCAGCTTAACCTGCTGCACCACGACACTGACCCCCATAATGCCATCTTAGTACAGTCATTTAATTAAAAAAAAAAAAAAAAATTGAGAGCAGAGTGACAGAGAAAGAGGGAGAGACATAGAGATATCTTCCATCTGCTAGTTCACTCCCCAAATGCCTGTAACAGCTGGGGCTGGGCCAGGCCAAAACCAGGAGCCAGGAACTCCATCTGGGTCTTCCATGTGGGTGGCAGGAACCCAAGTGCTTGATCCATCATCTTCTGCCTCCAAGCGCAATAGCAGGAAGCTGGATCAGAAGCAGAGCAGCTGGGACTTGACCTAGCCTTCTGATAGGGGGTACAGGTGTCCTAAGCATTGACTTAAACCACTTCACAACACCCACCCCCATCATTTACTTTTAATGTTTTGGAACATAGAACATGAGGAGTTTGCCTGTGAATTTTACTTCACAGTTTCATTCTCAACTTTTTCCTAAACAAACCCACCTTCTTTCTATAATCACATACTTGAAAGGTATTTCTCTTTCTTTAGAGGAAGATGATTCATGTTCATTGCTGACAAAGGAGAGCAGCCACAATAGCAGCTTTGAGCTGATTGGCTCCACCATTCCATCCTATCAGCCTTGCAACAGACAAACAGGCCGAGGAACCAGCTTTTTTCCTGCAGGAGGATTCCGATCTCCTTCCCCTGGGTTATTTCGGTCTAGTTTGGTCAGCTCAGCTTCTAAGGTAGGTTGGTAATAGTTTTTCTAATCTCCTCCCTTTGCTTCCCACATTGCTAAATAAAGTGTGTTCCAGCCAACCCACTCCTACCACCATGCTCCTGAGCTTATGTGTGTTCAGTTTGAAAAATCCACCCTCTTTGTGTATTAAAAACAAGCTTCATCCAGTGTTCCTACTTCTGGGTGGTATTTTTCTTTGTGCTTCTCTTGGCTATGCATTGTCCTCGACTGCAATTGCCTGGGAGTACTTTCAGTGTTGCAAACAGCAACTTCTGTTGTTTTCATGACACTGAATGACATTTGCAAAATGTTTTGTTATTGTTTGTTTTTGCTTTGGTGCCAGAGTTCAGGGAAGCTGTCTGAGCCTTCACTTCCCATTGAAGATTCCCAGGATCTGTATAACGCCTCCCCAGAGCCTAAGACACTTTTCCTAGGAGCAGGAGACTTCCAGTTCTGTTTAGAAGATGACACTCAGAGCCAACTGTTGGATGCAGATGGGTAGGTAGTTTTGTGTTTCTGTGGGTGGGAATGGTGCTGGGTACTGCTTAATTTTGTTTAAAAATAAAGTGAGCTTCTGTCACTCCATCTGTGCTTTCTCTTCTGAGAAAGAGAAAGAAGGTGTACAGATCATTAGTATTATATTCTACAAGTTTGAACAAAGTCTTCAGAAAATAAAATATAACTAGTTCTTGCTGACTGTCTGATCCCTTAATCACTTCTTTGAACTCCATTGATCTTGTATTGTGACGGCGTTAAATTTCCCCATATCCATCTCTACTACATTATAATTGTTGAGTAAGATTGAGGATTCACAGGCCCCAGCACATTACAGGATGTAACACAGAGCCAGACTCTAGCATTGTGTGAAGTCAAAATCATTCTTTTCATCTGATCTTTTGAATATCGTTTTATTCTTTTTTTTGCATAACTTCCCTCAACCACTTCAGATTAGCATGAGGCTAAGTTTGAATCTTTTGTTTTCCAATTTGAGTTTCAGCTTCTAATTTTGGTGTTGGGAATAAATCCAGAGTTTTTCACCCACGACTTTTCTGCTTCTCTGGAGAATTTCCTACTCTATTCATTGTATTTGTAGGTTCTTAAATGTTAGGAACCACAGGAATCAGTACCAAGCCTTGAAACCTCGGTTGCCATTGGCCAGTATGGATGAGAATGCCATGGATGCCAACATGGATGAACTGTTGGATTTGTGTACTGGGAAGTTTACAACTCAGACTGAAAAACATCTGTCCACAAAGAGTGACAAGAAAGAGAACATGGAAGAACTCCTGAATCTCTGTTCAGGAAAATTCACTTCTCAGGGTAAATATGAAGCAGAGAACGAAGGGTCGCCACAGCCAAATATCTTAAATCAGTGTTCCGGGGGAAAAAGCCCCTTACCCTCATGTGAAAAGTTTACAGAAAGAAAGGCTGTGAGGGAATCTTGCATGTAAACTGAATTCACTGCTGAGTTCCCTGACATTTAGAGCCCTTACTTCCTTAGATTGGTAAATTATCAACTCAAGACTATTAGTTTTGGTCACGTGATATATTATGTACAAGGGCTTAGAACAGTGTCTGGTATGTAACAAATTTCATATAAATATTCTTTCCACCTGTATCCTCCCCTCCCCTGACACACACACCTGCTAGAATTCGATTCTGTGAGACCTGGGATCTTTGTTTTGTTCACTGCTGTATCTGGTGTTTGGCGCAAGCTAAGCACTAAGTTAGGATTTGTTGAATGAATGGACAGAAAGCTCTTTTTGCTAAGCATACCTTAGAATTCTATTGAGCTGGCATGTCATTGGATGGCTGGGAAAAGACGATAAAGCTGTCATTCCTTGGTGACAAATCTTTTCCTTGTGATGTAGATCCCTCCAGCTTGGCTCCATCAGAGTTCAACAAGCAGGAAAAGGAGAGCAGTATGGGTGATCCAATGGAGGAAGCACTTGCTCTTTGCTCAGGCTCTTTCCCGACAGACAGGTGAGTCTCAGATCAGTGGGAACTTGAGAAGGCTTGACCTTTGGATAAAATCTTGGTATTAGGTTCTGGACTTAGCAATAACTATCTTAGAGGTTCCCTATCTTGGCTGGGTCTTGGAGTGGATTTGGACCTCATATTTGCAAAGTAAGGAAACTAAAATACTTTGATGAAAAACAAAAAAAGGGAAGAATAAGTACATGAAATATGCTTGACATCGCTAATTTTTAAGGAAATGCAAATCAAAACCACAATGAGATATTGCCTTATACTTGTTAGAAATGTTGGAGAGGATGTGGAGAAACTGGGAGTCTTGTATATTGTTGGTGAGACTATAAAATGGTTTAACTGCTATGGCAAACAGTATGGTGGTTCTTCTAAAATTACCATATGACCCAGCAATCCCACTTCTTAGTATGTAGCCAAAGAAATGAAAGCAGGAATTGAAACAACTATTTGTATACCTGTGTTCAGACCAGTAGTCAAAATGTGAAAGCTACCTGAGTGTTTGTTTACAGATGAGTGAATAAACAATGTGATATATACATCCTATGAAATATTATTCAGCCACAAAAAGGAAGGAAATGGGGCCTGTGTTGTAGTATAGTAGGTTTAACCTCTGCCTGTGGTGCCAGCATTCCATGTGGGTGCTGGTTCGAGTCCCGGCTACTCTACTTGTGATCCAGCTCCCTGCTAATGGCCTGAGAAAGCAGTGGAGGATGGCCCAAATGCTTGGGCCCCTGCACCCATGTGGGAGACCCTAAGAAAGCTCCTGGCTTCAGATCGGCCCATCTCTGGCAGTTGTAGCCATTTGGAGAGTGAACCAGCAGATGGAAGACCTTTCTCTCTGTCTCTCTCTCTCTCTCTCTGTAACTCTGCCTCTCAAATAGACAAATAAATCTTTAAAAAAATTTTAACTGCATTTAACTAATGATTCTCATAAAAAAAAAAAAGACTTGCAGTTTGGAAAGATGAGAAGAATTCTGAAGATTGCTTATATAACCAAATACATGTATTCAACACTACTGAGCTGCGTACTTAAGAGTGGTTTAGATGCTAAATTGTTTGTTACGTATATTTTACCACAGTTAAATTTTTTTAAAAAAAAAAAAGCATGATATCTTGTTTGTTGTGGGGTTGTTTTTAATTTATGTATTTGAAAGAGTGACAAAAAATACAGAGGCTGATGCTGCGGTGTAGAGGGTAAAGCCACCACCTGCGGTACCAGCATCCTATATGGGTGCTCGTTCGAGTTCTGGCTGTTCCATTTCTCATCCTGCTCTTTTCTATGGCCTGGGAAAGCAGTAGAAGATGGCCCAAGTCCTTGAGCCCCTGCACCCATGTGGGAGACCTGGAGGAAGCTTCTGGCTCCTGGCTTTGGATCAGCACAGCTCCAGCCATTGCAGCCAATTGGGGAGTGAACCAGCAGATGGAAGACCTCTCTCTCTTTGCCTCTTCTTCTCTCTTTGTGTCACTGTGACTTTCAAATAAATAAACTTTTAAAAAAAAAAAGAGTGACATAGAGAGAGACACAGAGATCTTCCATCTGTTGGTTCACTCCCCAGATGGCCACAATAGCCAGGTCTGTGCCAAGCCAAAACCATGAGCCAAGAACCCCATCCTGGTCTCCCATGTGGGTGGCAGAGGCCTAGGTACTTGGGCCATCTTTTGCTGCCTTCCCAAAGCACATTTGAAGGAAGCTGGATTGGAAGCAGAGTAGCCGGGACTCAGGCCTGCACTCCAGCATGGGATGCCCGCATGGCAAGCCACAACTCCACTTGCTGCCCTATAGCACCGGCCCCAGTTTCCTTGAAGAGACTATCAGTGCTAATAAAGTATTTCAGATTCTTCACTTGGCCAACTGCTTATGGCTTGCTTATTTATTGATTCATTTATTTGCATTTTAGGGAAGAAGAAGAAGGTGAAGAGGAAGAATTAGGGGACTTTCAGCTCGTCCCAAATGATAATGAATTTGATAGTGATGAGGTGAGTCTGAAGGGAACAAAGTGATCATTACTGAACTCAGTTGCTACCCTTAGGGGCTTTTGTCTTGGTTGAGTTCTTGAGACTTCTAAGTTTGGCATCTTATCAGAAGCAAATTTGAGATGCCTGGGCAGAAGTTGTAAGTTCTGTTTTCGTTAAGGACAATTTTATTCCACTCAATGTCAGGTGAGATACTGTGATTTTGCAGGATGAACAGAGTGACTCTGGTGACGAAGATCTGGCCCTGGAGGACCATGAAGATGATGATGAAGAAGAACTCTTGAAGCAATCTGAGAAGCTGAAAAGGCAAATGTAGGTATTATGTTTGTTTTTTTTTTTTTTTTTTTTTTACTGCAAGAAAGTTTCCCAAATGATTTAGTTATAGCTTGCTACTTTTTTTTTTTAATTAATTAATTTATTTGAAAGGCAGAGTTACAGATAGAGAGGGAGAGACAGGGAGAAAGATCTTCCATCTGCTGGTTCACTCCCCAAATGGCCTCAATGCCTGAGCTGGTCTGATCTGAAACCAGGAGCCAGGAGCTTCTTCCAGGTCTCACAAGTAGGTGGCAGGGGCCCAGGGGCTTTGGCCATCTAATGCTGCTTTCTCAGGTGCATTAGCAGGGAGCTGGATCAGAAATGGAGCAGCCAGGACTTGAACTGGCACCTATATGGGATGTGGGCACTGTAGGTTGATGGCTTAATCTACTGAGCCACAGTGCCAACCCTCAACTTGCTACTAAAGGAAAAAAAAAAAAAATATATATATATATATATATATATTTCCTTATATATTTGTAAGTCAGTATGAGAGAGAGAAAAAGCTTCCAACTGTTGATTGTTTCCCCAAATGGCCACAACAGCCAGAGCTGAGCCAGCCTGAAAACAAGGAGCCCAGAACTCCATCCAGGCCTTCCACATGGGTATCAGAGAATGTTAGCTGCACTGGCATTGCTTCTAGTCTCCTCACTTCCTTGTTATTCTCTATCCTCAAGTGTGGTCTGACTGTTCCCTTGTACTGGGTTCAAGCTACTTAAAATATAACCAGAGATCATCAGAGCTGAGTCATACTCTAGATCCTGGTGATCTAATAGTGACTGGGATTCCTGGCTTTTTTTTCCTGTGAATTAACATCATTCTAGTCTCCTCATCCTAGTCTTGGGCAAATGACTTTTTTAAATTGTTTTAAATGTTTTAGATGTTTATTTTAGTTTTAAAAGAATACAGGAAAATGGCCGGCACCGTGGCTCAATAGGCTAATCCTCTGCCTGCGGCTGGCACAGTGGGTTCTTGTCCCGGTCGAGGCACCGGATTCTGTCCCGGTTGCTCCTCTTCCAGTCCAGCTTTCTGCTGTGGCCCGGGAGTGCAGTAGAGGATGGCTCAAGTACTTGGACCCTGCACCTGCATGGGAGATCAGGAGGAAACACCTGACTCCTGGCTTCGGATCAGCGCAGTGCGCCAGCCGCAGCGCACCAGCCACAGCAGCCATTGGAGGGTGAACCAACGGCAAAAGGAAGACCTTTCTCTCTGTCTCTCTCTCTCTCACTGTCCACTCTGCCTGTCAAAAAAAAAAAAAAAAACAGGAAAATAAAAGTAAAAGTCATCTGTATCCACTATCTAGAATATATGTGAAATTGTTGATGGTGGTTATTTCCTCTTAAGATGTAAAATTTTATTTGAGAGTTAGAGAGGGGCCAGCACTGTGGCATAGCAGATAAATTTACCACCTGTAGTGCCGGCATCCCATATGGGCGCGGGTTCAAGTTCTGCCTGCTCTACTTCAAATCCAGCTCTCTGCAATGGCCTGGGAAAGCAGTAGAAGATGGTCCAAGTCCTTGGGCCCCTGCACCCACATGGGAGATCTGGAAGAAACTCCTGACTCCTGGCTTCGGATCAGTGCAGTTCCGGCCATTGCAGCAAACTGGGGGAGTAAACCAGTGCATGGAAGACCTCTATCTCTTTCTCTACCTCTACCTCTCTATAACTCTGTCTTTCAAGTAAATAAATAAATCTTTTCCAAAAAAAGGGAGGGGGGGCGAGAGAGAGAGTTAGACAAAGACACAGAGAGAGACAGCCTATCTGGTGGTTCACTCCCCAAATGCCCACAACAGTCGGGATTAGGTAAGGCTGAAGCTGGAGTTGGGCACACAATCTGTCTCCCTCAAGGGTGGCAGGAATCAGTTACTTGAGCCATCACTGTTGCCTCCCAGGATCTTCAGTAGCAGGAAACTAGAGTCAGGAGCCAGAACGGGGTATCAAACCCAAGGACTGTGTTATCAGAGCAGGGTCTTAACCCCTAGGCTAAATGTCCACCCTCCTCGTGATGTGTGTTTTTAAGGTGAGAACAAACTTCACATATTTCATATATACAGATTCAGTAACATAGTGATACTTCCTACTTCCTACCCTTCCTCCTGCTTCCTCTCTTAACTTTCACAATGATCTACTTTTAGTTTACTTTATATTCATAAGATTAACCCTACACTAAGTAAACCTCTTGATGTTTTTTAATGCATTTATTTTTATATACTGGAGATTTGTGCAATTTTTATATAAAATTTTGCATCTTGCTTTTTTCCCCATTTTACATGTCTAAAAGCATTTTTATGATGTTAAAAAGTTTCATAAAGATAATTGTAATAGGTACTCAGTTTTACCATTTTATATCATATGTGAATGACTTATAATTATATGTAGAACATTATATTGATCTCTATTAGATTTATATTGTTGTTTTTAGTCCATCATTCCATTCTGTTAAGATCCATTTTGGATTCTAATATGTCACCTATCAAGTTAACTATCATACCACTTTGGGGCATCCCATATATTTTTCTAAGGCAGTGGTTCTTGTTTTTTTTTTTTTTTTTTTTTTTTTCTTTTAAGATTTATTTATTTAAAAAAGTTTCTTTGGGGGAAAGAAAAAGATTTATTTATTTGGAAGGCAGAGTTACAGAGAGGCAGAAACAGAGAGGTCTTCCATCTTCTAGTTCACTACCCAAATGGCTGCAATGGCTGGAGCTGGGCTGATCTGAAGCCAGGAGCCAGGAACTTCTTCCAGGTCTCCCACGTGGGTGCAGAGGCCCAGGCACTTGGGCCATCTTCCATTGCTTTCCCAGACCATAGCAGAGAGCTGGATTGAAAGTAGATCAGCTGAGTCTCAAACTGCCCCCGTAAGGCAGTGGTAATCCCACCATGCTTAATTGTATAGCTCTTGATTAAAATGAAGTCTTTTGAAGAATGACAGCTAAAAGTTGAAGTGCTCAAAGGTGGATAGGGGACAAGCGCTGTTGGGTAAAGGGTAAAACCTGTTGGCTGTTGTACTTTTGATCAAGCTCCCTGCTAATGTGCCTGAGAAAAGTGGCAGAGAATGGCCCAAGTACTTGGGTCCTCACGCCCATATGGGAGACCTGGAAAAAACTCCTGGCTTCTGGCTGCAGCCTAGCCCAGCTCCAACCATTGCAGCCATTTCTGGGAGTGAACCAGTGGATAGAAAATCTCTCTCTCTCTCTCTCTCTTTCTCTCTCCCTCTGTCTCTCCCTTTCTCTCTCTGTTTCTCTGTGACTACCTTTCAAATAAATATATAAATCCTTTTTAAAAAATCAGTTTTCATAAGACTATCAAACTTTTGCTGTTTGTGATAATAAAGGACTTTGAACTTTGAGTGACAGCAAATTTGTTTTCAAGAGGAGCTAAAGTCACAAAAATAATTGGTGTTTTTTTTTAAAAAAATTGTTAATTTATATATTTCATTTATTTGAAAGGCAGATAGAGAAATATCTTCCATCTCTGGTTCACGCCCCAAATGACCACAACAGTCAGATGTGGGCCAGGCCTAACCCAGGACCAGGAACTCCATCTTGGTCTCCCACATGGATGGCAGGGGCCCATCCATCATCCGTTGTCTTCCCAGGCCCATTAGCAGGGAGCTGGATCAGAAGTGGAGCAGCTGAAATTCTTACTGATGCTACAGTATAGGACACTGGCATTGCAAGTGGCCATTTAACCTGCTGTACCACAACACCAGCCCCCTAGTGGTAGTTTTGATTACCAAGCGCTCTGAGCTACAGTCTTGCCAATAATTTGGGAGTAGGAGGTGGGGAGCAAGATTTAATGGGCTATAAGAAGATCCCATTCTGTTATAATCTTTCTATACGTTGCCATCTTTAATCTGTCTCCTAAATTTGGTATGCTTGAATGCAAAACAGGAGTTTGAATTTTCCAGCAAGTGTTCCTAAAAATGTAGAAGAGATTAAAACTTTTTTGCTTTAGAATCATCCAGCCAAGATTGAATGTGGGTTCTGCTACCTTCTTGTGTAACCTTGGACAAATTGCTTACTCTCTCTGAGCCTCAGCTTCTTTAACTGTACAATTAAGGGAATAATTGTACCTACTCCTAAGATACTGTGGTAATGCCTATAAAGCACAATTATTGGCATATGGTGTGTATTAAGTGATCAACTTTTAAATATTTAAAAATGATTTCATTTATTTACTTGAAGGAGAGAGAGGAAAAAAGAGAAAGATACCTCCCACCTGCTAGTTCACTCCCCAAATGCCCATAACATCTAGAGCTGAGCCAGGCCAAAACCAGGAGCCTAGAATGAATCCAGGTCTTCCGTGTGGGTGGCAGAAACCAACCACTTGAACTGTCACCTGATGCCCTGAAAGTGTGCATTAGCAGTAAGCTGGAACTGGGAGCAGAGCCAGGAGTTAAACCTAGGCACTATAATATGTGAAGCAGACTCTCCAAGCAGAGTCTTAACCACTGTACCAAAAGCTTACCCTTGAAAAAAAATGATTTAAATATTATTAAAATGTATTTGTAAATTTAAGTGCATTATTGTTATTAGAACTCTTCTGTTTTTCTCATTGTGTTCATATTATATGTGTATATTCATTGTTATGTTTTCTAATCTTTAAAATTGCTTCCTAGGAGATTAAAGAAATACCTGGAGGACGAGGCAGAGGTGTCAGGAAGTGACGTGGGAAGTGAAGACGAGTATGATGGGGAAGAAATTGATGAATATGAAGAGGACGTAATTGATGAAGTACTTCCTTCTGATGAGGAGCTGCAGAGTCAAATCAAGAAAATACACATGTCAGTATCTCAGCAGACCCTTCTAAATAGTAGAGCACATGTTAAGGTGGGCCTTACGGCACGTGGAGTCATCCTGGTTTTGGACACCTGATTTCTCCCGTTTTAGGAAAACCATGTTGGATGATGATAAGCGACAGCTACGTTTATACCAAGAGCGGTACCTTGCTGATGGTGATCTGCATAGCGACGGGCCTGGGCGAATGAGGAAATTCCGATGGAAAAACATAGGTATCTTGACTGTTGCTTTTAGATGCACACACCTTTTAATGCACATATTTGTCCAGTTGAAGATGATAAATGGAAATCAAAATGATAACAGGCTTTGTGGAGGTCCTGGCTGTAGCCATTGTTTTCTGTTACTGGGCAGGAAAATGTTGTCAATCTACAGCGAATGATAAGGGTTTATTTTGTGTCTGTCCCAGTATTCTCTCCTGTGGTAATTTCAGAATGCTAATAGACTTAACTCTTGGCTTTAGATGATGCTTCCCAGATGGACCTGTTCCACAGAGACTCTGATGATGATCAGATTGAAGAACAGCTTGACGAGACAGAAGCCAGATGGAGGAAGGAGCGAATTGAACGAGAGCAGTGGCTTCGGGACCAGGTAAGAAGTCTGCAAGAAGATCACCTATGCTGCACCTACTTTGTGAGAACAAGAGGACCTGGCCACTTGTTTGTATTAATAGTTGCCTGTCCCTTTTACTCCTTGAGTATTTCTTTGTGCTTTGAGAAGATTATCATGGGTAAAATTCGCTTCAGGTTTGTTTGTCCAAAATCAATTTTTTTGTCTTAAGCAATAAAGGTTGTAAAAGGACAACAAACTAACCAGGTATCCCAGGCCCACAACCAGGTCTATGCTAACTATATAGGAAAGCTGTAGGTTTTTCTGTTAATGCTGTATGATTTTTATTTTCAGGCACAGCAGGGGAAAATTACAACTGAAGAAGAGGAAGAAATTGGAGAAGACAGTCAGTTTATGATGCTAGCCAAGAAGGTTACAGCCAAAGCACTGCAGAAGAATGGTGAGCTCTTGGTTCTGTTCAGGGGTCAGCCCCTGGATTTTTAGTGCTGGAGACTCAGAGGCGACTCCAACCTTTAGGGGTGGGTGCAACTTAATCATTAGCTTGTGTCTATAACTGTCCCGCAGAAGTGGGGAGAGAAGTGTGCTGAGATCTTAAACTACTGGACAGTAGAGGTTACATGGGTGAATATATGTAGCTTCTTTTGCTATTTATGTTCTTAGGCTTAGAGTAGTAAGTTCTGGCCTTTCTATTTAGTTGACCAGCATTATATATCTTAAGTATTTTTTTTTAAGATTTATTTATTTATTCGAAAGTCAGAGTTACACAGAGGGAAGAGAGGCAGAGAGAGAGAGAGGTCTTCCATCTGCTGGTTCACTCCCCAGTTGGCCTCAATGGCCAGAGCTGTGCCGATCTGAAGCCAGGAGCTTCTTTCGGGTCTCCCACGTGGGTGCAGGAGTACAAGGACTTGGGCCATCTTCTATTGCTTTCTCAGGCCATAGCATGGAGCTGGATCAGAAGTGGGGTAGCCGGGACTCGAACCAGTGCCTGTATGGGATGTCGGCACTGCAGGCGGCAGCTTTACCCGCTACACCACAGTGCAAGTCCCATATATCTTAAGTATTAAAACCAGGATTTGAACCCAGGTATATTTAACTTCAGAAATAAAGCTCTTAACTCACTCCTACCTGTCTTGTTCTTGGTTTTTCTTAAACTATTACTGTAAATGACTCATCAGTAAGTTCAACTTTAGTTGTATTCTTTTTAAAGATTTATTTATCTGAAAGGCAGAGAGAGATCATCCATCTGCTGGTTCACTCCTCAAATGGCTGCAATGGCCAGGGTTAGGCCAGGCCAAAGCCAGGAGCCCAGAATGCCTTCAGGTCTCCCATGTGGGTGCAGGGACCCAAGGGCTTGGGCTGTCTTCCTCTGCTTTCCCAGGTATATTAGCAGGAAGCTGAATCAGAACTAGAGCAACCAGAACTCAAACACACCCATTTTGGATACTGGTTTTGCAGGCAACAGCTTAACCTGATGCACCACAACACCAGCTCTTAGTTGTCAGTCTTCATTTTTTTCTTTTCTTTCTTTTTTTTTTTTAGAGATTTGTTTTTTTATTTATTTGAGAGGTAGAGTTACAGACAGTGAGAGGAGGAGACAGAGAGAAAGGTCTTCCTTCCATTGGTTCACTCTCCAAATGGTCTCAACAGCTGGAGCTGTGCCGATCTGAAGCCAGGAGCCAGGTGCTTCCCCCAAGTCTCCCATGCAGGTGCAGGGGCCCAAGCACTTGGGCCATCTTCTACTGCTTTCCCAGGCCACAGCAGTGAGCTGGATTGGAAGAGGAGCAGCTAGGACTAGAACTGGCGCTATATGGGATGCCAGTGCCGCAGGCGGAGGATTAACCTAGCACACCACAGCGCTGGCCCCAAGTTGTCTGTCTGCTTGAAGCCACTTATTATAGCTTCAGAGTCACCATTATAAAATACTCAATCCCTATGGCTTTAGCTTACTGGTTTAACTGTAAGATTTCTTAGCTTCGTTAGATTTAAAAGCAATTCTACCCAGCTTTGCACAGAACAGGTCTGTTTTTTCCTTTCCAGCCAATCGTCCTGTGGTTATTCAGGAATCAAAGTCTCTTCTCAGAAACCCTTTTGAAGCCATCACAGCAGGAAGCGCTCACCAGGTTGGTTGGGGACCTTGTTAGGCTGCTGTCATGGTCTACAGGCTGTAAGGGCCCAGATCAAGGTAAAGAACCTGTCTGTTATTAGAGGAGGGAGGAGGCTGAAGGAGAGGGAAGGAGATGGCAAAGGAGCTATGTCTGACTTGAGTAGGTGAGAACATGTCCCCCCATACCTGTGGGGAGGCAGGAGGGACTGACTTCATTCTTCCCTTAGCGCTTGGTGTTTGATACCAGATGACTCTTCTTTCCTCAGCGGAAGACAGGGTCCCTGCTAAACCAGCCCAAAGCTGTGCTTCAGAAACTGGCTGCCCTCTCTGACCTCAACCCCAGTGCCCCGCGAAATTCAAGAAACTTTGTTTTTCATACACTTTCTCCCGTCAAAGCTGAGACAAAGGAGTCCTCTAAACCTCAGGTGGGCAGTTTAAGAATTGTTATGGTGATTTCCCAAAGTGAAATTTGTTGATTTATTTATGTGATTGAAAAAACAAAGATTCTGGCTTAACAGTTTATGCTACAGTGCTAATCCTGTACTCTCGCATGAGGTGCAAGGGAATAATTACCTTGTAGGTAATCAGCTTTGAAACTTGCCTGAAAAGTTTGCATGTAGTCTTCCTGTTATCATCCATGACTTAAGTGAGTTGCTTAAGAACCAGTTGAAGGTAAGTACTCCTCTGAGGGTCCTGAGCTGACCCTGACTCCCCCTCTGCTCTCTAGGTGAGGAAAAGGGGTCCAGCTTTGATGACATCGCCTTCACCTAAACGCCTCAAAACAGATGACAGCACTTCAGGACCAAAGCGGAGCATCTTCAAATACTTGGAAAGCTAACAGCGTCGGGGGCGCCAGCTTCCTTGTTGAGACTGCTTTGAGAAGGTTCTGGAACTGAGGGTTGGAATCTGTGCTCTCACTGCTGATCTCGCCTTCCTTCCCACCCAGTGTGCTGAGATTATCGACAGAGATCCCAGTTCTTTCTACTGCACAGCTCTAATCCTTTCCCAACAGTAGCTCCTGGATTGGCTACCAATTTTAATTCCACAATGGATGGATTACTTCAGTGAAGTGAAGTCTCTCTTCCTCCATTAAACATTTGACATTTTATCCTAACAACTCCCGGGGGTAATAATACCTCTTTGTGATGGAGCTGTTTGGAGGAGGAGGAAGAAGGAAAACTGTGGCGTTATAGAAAGCAGTGAAAGTCAGAACCAGAATGACTCCAAACCCATAAGACCCCTACCACAGAACCAGGACTCTTGACAGAGGAACTTCTCAGATGAAAGACTAGGAACCAGCAGGTGGGCTATTAAGTAGTCTGGCCCCTTCCATTTGCCTGTATGCTTCTTCCCAAGGCAGCTGCAACTTTGTAGTTAACTCTTGCTACCTTTTTAACAAGGACTTTAACTGGGAACCAAGTCAGAAAGACCTTGGCCCAAATTTTCTGGAGTGTGGGGATGAACATAAAGGATCACACCTTGTGTCTGTCCACATGGGATGGTCCCTTGGGCAGAGACCTTTCCTGGGACTAAATTTTGAAACACTTGCTCAAAGCCTTCCTTCCTCCAGCTCATAAGAAGAAATACAGCCGTTATTTATTGTGTTCTCTTAGATTGAGCATGTTGCCCTGACCAATCAGACGACATGTCAATATTTTATTACTGATTTTGAGAGAAGACCACCATGGAGTTTAATAAAAATACTGTTGAAGATCATTACCATTGCTCCCCATTTTCCCTGACTACCAAGGAGCTCTCAGAACTTTAGGCAAATTTTTCTTTCCCAGAACTGAGCATCAGAAACCTTTCCATGTGGATGCTGGATTTTTGATGTCAAGACATTGGGGGATGAGGAATTCCATGGAAATGAGGGTGTAGATTTTCTGTGATTTTTTTTCTGATACGCAAGATGCGGACTTTGACAGAACTCATGGTTGTATATTTGTAATCTTGTAACGGGGACTATGTGTATAAAGATGTTTTAATAAGTATGTAGTTTTTTCAATAAATATCCATGGCTTGAAGGCAGCGTTTGCTGTCCAGGTTGAGTGCTGAATCTCAGGGCAGTGCCTGTCTCAAGTTGAGGAGCATTTCATTCCCAAGTGTTCCTCTCCGGGAAGCCGTCTGGGCCTGGAGCGAGAGATTGTACTGCAGTTGTCCTCTGAGTGGCCTCTCAGCCCCAGCAAATTGATGGGATTAACTTACTGGCTGATTTGGCTTCCGGTAGGTGAGGAGCAGGGTTTACATAGAGGGTTAGAAATGTCTCCCTTTTTGCTTCTCCACGTGCCTTTTTGGGGAGAGGTGAAGAAGAGGATTGGAATTGACTGCCCAGGATCAGTGCCTGAGAAGTCTGAGAAGCACATGGTTGCCGTGGGAGTCTCCAGGAAATAAGCACTCTTTAGAGAAAGAAAAGTTAAGTCTTCAACTCAGGACTGCTTTTCATACTGCCATGAAAGCTGCCATTGGGCAAACTAAGCTTTGACCTTGGTAACTGGACCAAAATGGAGAGTTCTGAACGGACCCACATGTCCTTTACTCAGAAGCGCCGAGTCAGCAGCACCAGCAGCAGCAGCCGACACAGTGAGAACCCCAGGGCCTGGTGCTGTGGCTCCTGGTAGGACTTAGCTCCACTAGCTTGAAAATTACATACTCGGTGGGCCTGGGGACTGGAGTGCACACTCTCGCTTCTTTTGCTTCCTCCTTAATCCACACACTGAGGTAGGGACACATGGCGTTGCCCTCATGTAAACAGGCCCCTTACCTACTCTGCAGCTGCATAGGCCACATCAGGATCTGCTCTACAAACCGTCAGGCCACGTTTACCACGGTTTCGGAGACAAGGTGCTGAGCTCTCTGCAGGGTCCCTCAGCTCAACTGCGGCTCTATAGACTTCTCTGCACTTTGAGAATTCCTAACCATCAGGCTGGAAGACCTTTAGAGGCTGTTTTTGGTTTGAGTTCCTAAAGGATGTCTAAGAACTCTTAGGGCTTCTTGTCCGGGGACTTGTGCACTAAGGATATGGGAGAGCATTTGTGGATCCTCCTTGGATCAATCCAGCCTGGAATGTAGCGGTGCCCAGTAAAGGTTGAATAAATAATGCCATTCCCTTTAGGGTGTTTATGTCTGCAGAATAACGATAATGATTCGTGCCTGTTTCTGAGTTGTAATGTGTTATGTCAAATGTTATATACAGGTGTAAGAAATTGCTGGTTTCAGAGTTCCATCGTATGGTGTTGTCCACTCCTTAAAGGCCCTTTGTTTCACAAATATCTCAAACTTCATGCCTTCCTGAGAAACCTGCTCTTCCTCCTCCTGTGTTTTCCGTTTCAGTGAAAGGTTCCATCGCATACCCTGGCCCTCACGCTGGAAACCCAAAGAGCGTCCGTGATACCTCCTTGCCTACTCCCATAATCACACAGTCTCCAAGTCCTGTTACTTGTGGTTCTAAGTTGTATCTTGAAACACCTGTCTCTCAGCTCCTTAGCCTCTCAGTCTCCTATGTGGGCGCAGGAGCCCAAGGACTCCTCTTTCGTGGGTACTGCAGTAGCCACTTGATCTCCCTGCTCTTGTTTTTGCTTCCACAGCAGCCAGAGGGAGACCTTTGTTTAACATAATTGGGAGGATGCCACTCCCTTGCAGTATCTTCCATAGTACTCAGAATAAAATCAAACTCCTTGTGACCTACAAGGCGGTGCTGACAGCTCTGCCTCCAGCCTGCTATCTGTTTTCCTATTTCATTACACTTGGCCTCAGAACCTCTTTTTTCTTTTTATTTATTTGTTTGAAAGGCAGAGTTACAGAGAGGGGAGGAGAGACAAAGATCTTCCATCCACTGGTTCATTCACCAAATGACCACAACAGCTGGAGCTCTGAAGCCAGGAGCTTCATCTGTACCACATGGGTCCAAGCACATTAGCAGGGAACTGGATCAGAAGAGGAGCAGCCAGGACAACGAACCAACACCCATATGCAGTGTTGGCACTGCAGGTGGCAGCTTAACCTGCTGTATCACAGGTTGGGTCCCAACTCAGGGCCTCTTAAAGTATCCTTCCAGGGGCTGTGGCGCAGCAGGTTAACACCTGGCCTGAAGCACGCGCCAGTTCTAGTCCTGGCTGCTCCTCTTCCAATCCAGCTCTCTGCTATAGCCTGGGAAAGTAGTAGAAGATGGCCCAAGTCCTTGGGTTCCTGCACCCACATGGGAGACCGAGAGGAAGCTCCTGGCGCCTGGCTCCGGATCAGCGCAGCTCTGGCCATTTCGGCTATCTGGGGAGTGAACATTCGGATGGAAGACCTCTCCTCTCTCCGACTTTAAAATAAATAAGTCTTTTTTTTTTTTTAAGAAAAGTGTCCTTCTATTTTCCTGGAATCCTCTCACCAACCTCCCTCTTTGTCTATTATTTAATTTTTGAGATATCTTAAAACTAACTTCCTTAGAGATGCTTTCTTTGACTGTTACCACCATTTCTTAATTAGTCAACCTCTGTTAACTCTTAGGTCTTTTATCAGTTTGCCACCTGAATGTTAATGTCTGCCTTCCCCATTAGACCATAAGCTCTGAAAACAGACCATATCTATTTTGTTTTTAAAATATATGCTTTGAGGGCTGGCACTGGCATAGAAAGTTAAGCCTCTTCCCATGTGGGTGCCAGTTTGAGTCCTGGCTGCTCCACTTCCCATCCAGCTCCCTGCTAATGTACCTGGGAATGCAGTGGAAGATGGCTTAAGTGCTTGGGCCCCTGAATCATGTGGGAGACCCCAAAGATGCTGCTGGCTCCTGACTTTAGCCTGGCCCAGCCCAGTCCTGACTGTTGTTGCAATTTGAGGAGTGAACTAGTGGATGGAAGATCTCATTCTCTTTTCTTTCTCTCTATATCTGCCTTTCAAATAAATAAATAAATATTTTTTAAAAAATGCTTTGGACATACCTGGCACATAGAAGTAGTCAGTATTTCTGAGCCATGAGTGATGGGAAACCTGGAAGAGCTAATGGTGGGGGCTGGTGCTGTGGCGTAGCAGGTAAAGCTGCTGCCTGCAGTGTTGGCATCCCATATGGATGCTGGTTTGAGTCCCAGCTGCTCCACTTCCAATCCAGCTCTCTGCTGTGGCCTGGGAAAGCAGTAGAAGATGGCCCAAGTCCTTGGGCCCCTGCACCCATGTGGGAGACCTGGGGGAGGCTCCTGGCTCCTGGCTCTGGATCAGCTCAGTTCCAGCCATCTGGGGAATGAATCAGCGGATAGAAGATTCTCTCTCTCTCTCTCTCTCTCTCTCTCTCTCTCTCTCTCTCTCTCTCTGCCTCTCTGTAGCTCTGCCTTTCAACTAAATAAATAAACCTTAAATAAAATCTAATGGTGAAAAGCTTAGAGCAGAATTTCTAACAGAGCTTTCTGTTGTGATAGAACAGGTGGCTGCTTTGAGTCCTTGTGCTCTCTGCAACTTACAAGGGGCATGACCTTGGATGAGTCATTCTCACTGAACTTTCTCCTTGCTGGAAGATGAGGCTCACGTGAAATGATGTGGTTTGGCTTACAGGATTATGGTTAGGATCAAAGGTAGAAATGAAGGAGAGATGATGTGCCTCTTTAAGAGGTTGCACTAACAGGCGAACCCACTGCTAAGGACGGGTGGAGCTGATGCCTCCTTGTGCTCTGGCTGAGTGGGAAGCAGAGGCCGAGTCTCCACAAGGCTCCAGTCCACCAGCCCACAGTCCTCTCCCAGCAGCCAACTGTCGCAGCTGTGTGCTGGAGCCTGTGACAACAATAGGAATGGAGGCCTGCTTGTATGCCTGGGCTGTTGTGAACCGGAGAGGTAGGCACTGCTTTGTGTATGGCTGGTATCAACCTCAGGATTCGCCTATAGAGACCAAGGCGCCCCATCCCTCGGTCCCTGTGTAGCTGCATCGTCGTCACCTGTGCTACCCATGTCCTTCCCATCTCTTTTTGTCCTCTCTTCTCTCACCTTAAAGATTTTTCATTTTCAGCTTATTGATTTGGTTCTTCCCTGTGGTGGGATCCATAATGGGAAAAGGGGTTGGAGTAACTACAGCCTACGGGTGATTGGAGGGAGCTGTGGGGCTGGAGACCTGGGTTCTCCAGGCAACCACAATCTGTGGTTTTCTTAATGGTCAGTGGGCCAGAGGTAGCTCCCAGCTCCGGGCTGGAGAATCACTGGGCCTGGTGCAAGGTGGAGAGTGCTGGGGCAGGGTTGGGAGGGAGCTGTGGTTTGGGTTTTCCAGCCCTTGTCTCTCTCAGAGGCCAAGGCAAGGGAAGAAACTGACTGACTACCCCTCCGTTTGTCTTGTCTAATTTAACTTACGTTATTTATCAAAAAGACAGGTTATTTGGAAAACCAGATGGACCCAGGCAAAAATCATCTGGGTTTTCCAAATGTGAAAAATTAGGTTCTGGGGGCCCAGGAGGGGTGTGTGTGTGTGTGTGTGAGAGAGAGAGTAGGGGAGCTAGGAGTGTTGAGTGAATGTCTACAGTCAGACACAGAAACTGTTCCATGACCTCCAGACATCCCACTTCCCTCTTTTTCCTTTAAGTTCTTTATGATTGGACTGTAAATGAGAAATCTAAATTTAATGCTGCTGGCTGAGTGTGCTGCAAGTTTTAATTGACCAACAATGAGAACATCTCGGCTAAAGTAAGACAGTGGCTGACAGCTTTCTCTAGCTCTTACCCACTTCAGTAGAGTGAGTAGGTGAGTGAGAGGTGCTGGGTACACAGATTTTCTGTAACAGAAGCTTTTTTTTTAAAGATTTATTTATTTATTTGAAAGGCAGAGTTAACAAAGAGAGAGATCTTCCATCTGCTGATTCACTCCCCAAGTGGGCACAATAGCCGGAGCTGGTCTGGTCTGAAACCAGGAGCCAGGATCTTCTGCCGGGTCTCCCATGAGGGTGCAGGGGCCCAAGGACTTGGGCCATCTTCCACTGCTTTCCCAGGCACATTAGCAGGGAGCTGGATCACAAGTGGAGCACCTGGGATGCCAGCACCCATTATAGGATGCTAGTGTCGCAGGTGGCAGCTTTACTCACTACGCCACAATGCTGGCCCCTGCAACAGAAACTTCTTCCTCTTGTCCCTTTAATATTATTGTACCGAAATTGTTGCAGCAGATAAGAACACTTAGGGAAGAATTTAACCTCTCATAACTTTGTGACGACTGGATGGCTAAAGAACCGGGGTGGGGGGCGGTTGAGGGTTATCTTTCCACTCAAATCCAGCTCCCTTCTGGGTAACAGGGGCTTGCTCGTAGCTATAAGCAACAATTTTTATTTCATTTTATTTTTAAGATTGTATTTTATTTATTTGAAAGGCAGAGTTACAGAGGGAGAGAGAGATCTTCTTTCTGCTGGTTCACTCCCCAGATGGCTGCAGCAGGCATGGCTGGGTCAGACTGAAGCCGTCCTAGTCTCCCAGGTGGGTGGCAGAGATCTAAGCACTTGGGTCATCTGCTGCTGCTTTCTCAGACATATTAGCAGGGAACTGGCTCTGAAGTAGAGCAGCTGGGACTCAAACTAGCACTCATATGGGATGGTAGCATCACGGGCTGCGGTTTTACCTGCTGCGCCAAATGCAGACCCCTCCCACCAGGAATCTTTTAAGCCTGTGTGTCTGTTCCCTCCAGGCAGCAGCATTATTAGGAAGGGGTTGCAGCAGGAGACAAGAGAGGCACAACTCTTGGTTGTGACAGAGGAAATGTTCTCGCTGAGAACAGCAGGCCATCCCATTTTCTCACATATGCACGTGCGCACACACACACACAGCCAAGACCTTTTCTGGCCTGGAGAATCTTTGGCTGCTGTAACAGCACTGTCCCATTTTGAGTGTCATTTTTAAAGCACCACTGGACTGTGAAAGCCACTTAATAATTTGATCTCATCTGAATAACATGAGTTAATCCCAGCTCCACAGTGGTGAGGATTAAATAAGAAAACATTTGCAAAGTGTCTGCCTCAAGGCCTAGCACATGGTAAACCTCAGTGAATGCTTGTTGAATGAAAGACTCCACAAATCTGAGCACTAGGGGGCTGGTGCTGTGGCGCAGTGTGTTAAAGCCATGGTCTGCAATGCTGACATCCTATATGAGCGCCGGTTCAAGTCCCAGCTGCTCC